GGTTAAAAAAAAAAAAAAAAAAAAAAAACTCAAACCTAAACTTAACGGTTTGGTTCGATTTTAAACAGTCGATTTTGTCATATATTTTTTTTGTCAGTCTACTTTTATGTCATTAATTCATTGAATTCAATATATATTTATATCTTACTAGCAATAAATCTAAAACAAACTAAACCCCTATTTGAACCAAATTTTTGGGACAAAAAATTGAAAATTTGGATAGTTATCCCATAAGTTCATCCGCCTTTGTTAGCCTGTTATTACATATATGGGACCCAACCTCCTCTCCAACGGTCAATTTTCTCATTATGATGATATAGGAAATATGGCTCAAACAAGGACTAAATATATCTACTATAAATTTAAATACTAATTAAATCAAATTAAAATCACAATAAATTAAAACATAGTTTTTTTCATTTGTATACTTTTTTAGGCTAATGACGATAAAATAACGTTACGATACAAGTCTACTAAACTAGATATAAGGCTCAAGAAAAATAATGTCCCACAAGACCTCGTGATCATCATATCTGAAAAAAGAATACTGATTAGACAAAGAGAATAACCAACCACAATAATAAAGCAATTGCTTATAATATCTAAACATAACAATTACACAAGTTTACGTTTTTATGATGTTACAAAACACATTTAATTTCAAATTCTTACCCTAATTTGCTCCCAAAAAAATTATTGATCTAAAACTTTATTCATAACAAATATTTTCACAGAAGGTCTATGATCTCTTTGTCTCCAATTTAATAATGGATTTCAATTCAACTTTCAAGAGGCGTGAAAAATCTTAAAAAGAAGTGTGTGGTGCTGATGACTCAATACTGTGTTGGGTGTCAACAGGAGTTCATCTAAATTCTCAAATGAAAAATGACTTTTGATAGATTATGTTAGTCTTGAGATTATTAGATATATATTAAGACTATTGGATAATAATAATAATATATCCGTATTAGAAAATTAGAAATTGAAAAAAAATACCCACATATGACAAAACTACTGAATTTTAAATATTTGGATGATGCTGGTGCGATTTGGTTTTAAACCGCAATTAAAATTCTCAAACCTAAACAAAATCATTTTGACCGGTTTGATTTGGGTCAAAACCTTTTTGTTGACCGAGTCCACGTAGGGATGTCAAATCGGCTTGATGGCTCAAGCTCAGCTTGGGAAAAGCCCGAGCTGGACCGGCTCGGAGCTCGGATGGAGCGAGCCCCCATTTTGGGGCGTTGGCCCGAGCCCGAGCCAACCCATTGTAGCTCGACAAGCCACATGGGCAGGCTCGAGTCACGGGCCATTTTTGGCCAGTGATAAGGCCCGATCAAAACTCAAAGTTCAAACCCAAAAAAAAAAAAAAAATGGTCAAGATAGCTTCCTTAAGGCAACCTAGTTTACTGTTAAAAAAATGGGTTAAATTGTTTGATTTTCTACTGTGTTTTACAATTCAATTTATGAGACTCATATTTCAATTTCAATTTCAAATTCAAATTCAAATTTCAAATTTGGAGGTAAAATTGATTTTTTTTTGCTATAAATACGAGGTAAATTTTTAAGTTTCAAATCAATTTGTTTCAATCGATTTTAACTTGCAGTATTATATATTCAAGTTTCAACTCTAATTTCTTTGCTCTCAATCTCATATTCAATTCCTTTCACTCTCATACTCTAATATTCTGTATTTTATATTATACTAGTTATATATGGATTTTATTAGTGATGAGTTTAATCAGTTTAAGGGTAGCTCGAGTACTCCATCCGGTTACAACAATGCATCTCAAAATGTTCCAATTGATTTAGAGAATATTGAAGAGGAAGAAGTACTCGAGATTAAAAGGTCGAAAAAAGAATCCTCGAATTGCTGGCAACATATAACACGTAAAAAAAATTGTGTTCAAAATGGAGTGGATATTTGAAAAACGTGTTGCAATTACTGTGGCAAAGAACTTAGTTGGAAGCCCAGTTCGAGCACAACACATTTGAATAGACACATATTAAGGAGTTGCAAAGAGAAACCAGTCGATCTCGACTCGAAACAGACCGAACTAGTATTTGACAGTTCTTATTCTACTCTTTCCACCTTTGTATATTCATAGGAAAGATTTCGTGAAGGAATGGTTGCATACGTGACTGCGGCAGAGATGTCGCTTACGATGATAGACTCTGTACACTTTACCTAGTTCGTGCAGAAATATCTCTAACCCAAATATTCTTCTTATTGTAGAAATATTTTTTGTTCAGATACTATAAAATTATATAACAAAAGAAAACAACTTGCTATTAAAAGTCTAAAAACTTTTAATAGTGTTATATCATTTACATTTGATTTATGGACCGGTCGTAATAAAAAATGTTATATTGCTGGTACGACTCATTATATTGATCACTTGTGACTTTTACATAAAAGAATTATTGCATTTAGATGTGTACAATATCCTCATAATACCATTGACATATACATGATTTTAAAATATATTATACAGGAATATGGTATACAAGATATGATTCGAATTTTTACTTTTGATAATGTTAGTGTGAACAAAGCTGTTATCGAAAGATTTATTAATAATTTTAACCCTTCATTTGGAACTTTATTTTTTCATCAATGTTGTGTATACCATATTATCAATTTTATTATAAAAGTTGGATTAGAACATATAAGTTTTCTTTTAGATAAAAATAGACAAGAAAATTTTATTATTGTGTCATCAGCAAGAAAACAAGCATTTAATACTTTGTATGCAGAGTATGACTTACATGAGAAATCATTTGCCACTGATGTAACACATAGATGGAACTCTACATATCTTATGTTACATTCGTGTGAAAGTTATGATAAAGTGATTTCATTATATTATAATGGTAGGCATACATACGAATCCAAATATAATGTAGAAGATTGTGAATGGTCTCTTGCATTTCATGTGAAAAAAATTTTAAAATCTTTTTTCGATACTACAAAGGAATGTAACGGAGTTTATTACCCTACATCTTCACTTGTTTTACAACATTTTTTCCACATTTCACAAACATTTCATAAATACAGGAATTTGCCATTTTTTCTCACTTAATTTCCTCTATGGAGTTAAAATTTCATAAATATTGAGAAAAATTATCCTCTTTATTTATTTTAGCTTCTGTAATGGACCACCGACTTAATTTGAATTGTACAATAGCCATTGTAAAGGAGATTTCAAATTTCATGAATGTGAAATTACCACATGTGAATATAGAATCTACGTTATCTAAAATGTATAATTATTATACTGATAAAGAAGGCCAGTGTAGTTCTACTTCCCCAAGTTCTTCTTCAAGAATTATTTTAACAAATTCAGATAATTTATGGAATTTTTTGGAAAGCAATATAAGTGTTCTCTCATTTAATTCTAGTTCATCGATGTCTAGAGCGATAAATGTCGGTGGTACAAATTTTGAAATTCCCTCCAAGTTAGCTAGTTATATGTGCGTGGATATTTGCAGTGTGTTACCTGAAAAAGAATTACAGGAATTTAGTCTTCTAAATTGGTGGAAGTGTAATGAAAGACGGTATCCAATTGTATCAAAAATTGCACGTGATCTACTAACACTTTCAATGTCTATGGTAGTATCGGAGGCGGCATTCAGTTTAGGTGGTCTAATTTTATCAGACGAACGTTCAAGATTAAAAAAAGATATATTGGAGGCTTTAATATGCTTGAAAGATTGGGAATGTGCATAATTACGTGTTCAAGAACATGTTGATAGTATACTGGTCAAAGAGTTGCAACAGATCCAAATATAGAATGTTATAAGTTTTTAAAATGACTTATTTTCAAAACAATATGTAATTTTTAAATTTATTTGTTTCAGGAAAAATTGTACACGAAATATTTTATTCATGTACAATTTTAACTCCGTCTACGTTATGTAACCCGTCCCAAGCCTCAAAAAAAGAGGAGGGTTGTAAGTTGTAATTTTTATTTAATTTGTAATGTAATTTTAAAAGTTGTAATTTTTATTTGATTTATAACTTGTATAAATCATACAATTTTTAATTTTTTTAAGAAAATGTTATATTCGTAATCTTGTTTAAAAGAAAAAAAAAAGAGTCGGCCCGGCTCGGGTTCGGCTCAGCTCGACTTATTGACATTCCTAGGTCTAAATGGCACCAAATCGACGGTTTCTAAAATACGATTTTGATTCGATTTTTCAATTTAAGGATTTTTACTTATAGCCCTACTTTGCCCAATTAGCAAATGACGATAAGTAGACATTAAATTTTCAAAAAATAAAAATAAAAAATATCTTGATTCCTTCATTCTTGTTTGTCTTTATCAAGTTATTATCTACAACTTGAGGGACTACTTTCTCCTTTCTTTATTTTCATTTCACCTGTTAATTGCACTTGATTTCAATGGAAATTTTGTCTCATCGAGAATAACAGTGATTTCAAAATCTAGACGTTAGAATGCATATCTGGTAAATAACACTAAACATTAAGAAAAATGAAAGTAAAATCCAACGTATTTTATTGTCTAGTACTGCAAATACAAGTCCCTTACCAATGACCGTTATATTTCAAATAGAAACTCCCATATCTTTAGGCCAGAAAAGTAATTCCCACATATTTACTCTTCCTTACGAAATATTCTTCGTTTTGAAAGGTTTCACATGTATACACAAAAAATAACATCGCAAAATTTAAATTATTTTAGTCTATAGACAAAAAGATCAGTCAGTTTTGATGCGATAGAAAATTTAATTATTATAAACTTATACATCATGAGACGTAGGAGGATATAAAAATGACTGTATTATATGCTTGATAGAATTCGCGACTTGTCCACGCTATATCCTGTGAAGAATTAGGTGAGCCCCATGCTGAGGTTGAAGAGTTATAAGCGTATGAGGAGCATGCGTATAGGATGGCGAGAGCTGAAAAGAGAAGCGTTGTAGAATCATGGCCATCGCCATTTTTGCCTCTATCATGGCAAAGTTTTGTCCAACACATATCCTCGGACCCCATCCAAATGGGAAATATAAGCCTTGTTTCTTCTGTGCTTTTGACACTCCTTCACTAAATCTCTCCGGCTTGAACTCCATTGCATCCTCTCCCCAGATTTCGCAGTCGTGATGTAATAAGATTGTAGATAATTGAAGCTGTGTCTCAGCTGGGAGCAATAGTTTCCCCAATCTCGTTTCTTCATGAACTCTTCGAGGAATTCCAACTGCTGGTGGATAGAGTCTCATGACCTCATACAAAATCATGGTAACCTGTGATTAATATCCCATACAAGTTATAAACAGGAAGAAATTGAGGAACATAATTCATTTAAGATTATATTAGGCCACTGATTTACTAATCTAAAACCTTTCTGATGTTCAATATTAGTTCAACATTTTATTTTGAAAAGAGGAATGGATATAAAGGGTGTTACCAATAATTCCAATCATATTGTTATTTAAAGAAGGAAATTACATACGATTTTCAGGTGATTTAACCCATCGAAATCTGGGTTTTTGCTACCAAATACTTGTGAGACATCTTCTCTAGCCCGTGTCTGCCACTCTGGATGTGTACTCAATAGAACCAACGTCCATACTAGTAAAGCAGAAGTCGTCTCTTGTCCAGCAAAATAGAACAGCTTGCATTCTTCTACGACCTCATCTATGCTCATTCCAAAATTCTTATTTCCATGTTGTTTAATTTCTTGGAAGTTGGATTCCAACAATATGCCCAACAAATCATCATTACGTGCTTCCCCCACCTCCATTGCCATCAATCTTCTATTTATAATATCTCTAACTGATGCTTGAACTTCCTTTTCAATTTCCTTCATTCTTTTGTTCTTCTTAGTCGGCACAAATCTATACACAAGGGATGTTCAGAGGATAAGTAAACAACTACATAATTACAACCAAGCAGGTGAAAATGGTTCTTCTGACTAATCATCTCAGCAGAAAAAAAAATGAGGATTCAAAATTAAGTAGTAATATTGTAAGGTAGATATTCCTTCAAGACTAGTCAAAATATAGTGTTACCTCCATCCAGGAATATAGATCGACTGGGAAGCCTTGATGATGTGTTCAGCTTGTTCTCTCTGAAGTTCGAATATCCTCCTTCCCTCTTCGTAGCTACTACCAAACGATGTTCTTGATATTGCATCACTAGATAATTTTTGTAGATAAGGCCACACGTCGAAATCACGTGATTCTCCAGGAGCGAGGCCCAGTTCCCATTTGCTCAAAATCTCTTCACAACTCAAATAAAAAGCTGGCATCATAAGCTGTAACAAGCAGGGGTGACAAAGCAATCTCATCACCAATAAGTTCTCTTTTAGTATGAAGCTTTTGTTTCTTGAGAAAATAAAAATTCTTGAATACAAAATCAAACAATATAATTTCGTTAAGGTGAATTTAATTTGTCAATATGCTCCATCTCAAATCTTTGAATGAATAACTTTCATATTTCAGCAGTTTTTATAAGATAGAGAAAACCTTTAGCTTCTCTAGATGGAAAGCAGGGTTGATGATTTTTCTGTGTTTAGCCCATTTATCTTCCTCATAGCTCACTACACCTTGTACGAGCAGCTTGGTCAGTGGATTCATGTTTACTGGCTTCTGGTACACATAATTCTTAGTTAGGACCTCCTTTATGAGTTCAGGGTCCGTGATTATAATTAATGGTCTCGGCCCAAGCCACATGAAGGCGTTGGTACCTGCATGTTATGGCGACAAGAATATTATAAATTCAAGTTTTGCACAAGAGAAAAATATATTTAGGAACACTGGCATGCAGGTACAAATTAGAATGTGGACACCTAAGGGAGCTAAGATAAAAGAAGTTATCTTGCAAACCAGAACGGGTCAAATGAAAGTTGATACTTCTTCCCTTTTACTCGGAAATTTTCAAATGTGTAGAAATGAAAAGTACACAATCTAATCCTAAACTAAAATCTTGGATCATTCTACGTATAAACCCCAACTCAGCTGTTAGTAATCAATTGAGACGATCAAATATTCGTGAATCCAGTAAATCGAGAAATCGTCATCTGAACCTTTGTTATAATACTTTTTGATGTATGCAAACTTTACTGAAGCTCTGTTCACCATGTGTACAAATTATCATATAATCATGGAAAGAACATTATTGGTGCCACAGTCCTAGACAAGTCCACCTTACTCTTCTAACTACATTTTCTATTAGATATTATCTTATCTTTACATTCAATTTATGAACAAAGGAACAGATCTAAATGTCTCCTCTGTGAAGCTGACATTCTAAGCTTACGAAGGAGCATGGCTATGGGTTCCTGAGCGGAGATATACAGATACAGGCAGCATCTTGGATCAAACACACAAAATTCGTGTTTATCAAATACAGGGGAATGGAACTGAGAAAAAATTTCAAATTATGACGGTTTATGTCAGAGTAACGTGCTATTACTGAAGTATGCACCATCAATTATTGATCGACACAAAGACAGAGATGAAGAATATGACATTTATGAGTGTAGGTGTGTGTTCTTTCCAGATGACAAAAAATAGAGGGCTCTTCAAACTACCGCAAAATCTATGGGTTAAATTTTGATCATCCAACCATTGCACATGCATCTTCCAGTTTTTAGTCTACTTTATACAAACAGTCTTAGATTTTGATTGAACACAAGTTTTGGATAATTTACACCAGTTTCTTTCGATAAGTTTCCAATGACTAACCAATTTTCGTCAATCAATCCGTTCACATCTTGTCTATGATGGGCAACTCACAAAAGGATGAGATCAATCGTAAGAGAAATGGATCTCTAACAAGGATTCAAGTTTAGACGAGATTCAAATAAAAAGTAAAGATGAAGCAGACAGACCAAAGAGTACAAGCAGTTCTGCTCTACCCAGAAAGTCTAGATGTCCCATCTTTAACCATCAAATCAGCTCCTTTTGCCTCGATATGGATAAAACAACGTTCAAGAACAAAAACAAAAACTACCCGAAACGGAAACATTTACACCTCTGTTGCCCCTAGGAAAAGAATTGATTTTTCAAAGAACCCCATTTCTCTTGAACTAGGAGTCCATGTTTTCAAGAAATCATAGAATAGAAAACTGTCTGAAACCTATTAGTCCTACTCTTAAATGAAGGATATAGACTATATCGTAATCGAAGTGAAAGAAACCCAACTGGGAAATTAACTTGGGACTTTGCACAAACAGTTACCAGGCAATAACAAGGACATACCATAGTTCTCCAGTGTTTTGAGGAAGAAGGGTATGATCCTCCGCTTGATATCATCTGAAAGATTGATTGGTTTGGATTTGGCTTTTTGCAGCATACTTATCAAACCTTTCAAATCTCCATAGAGAAATCTGTAGGAGTTTCCATTTAAACCTTGTTGTCTCAGACATTTTTCCATCTTTTTTGGCTTAAACCAAACCCAATCCAGCACCCTCCATGTGTATATCAGTAGCACAAATGCACAACACACACCAATTGTGTAATACAGAATCTCCATGCCCAATTATAATCACTGCACAAGTGCAAGTTTTCTTCTACACCTGTGTATATGAATATATATAACTATTAAGAGGAAACAGCATGGAAAGTCGCTTTCTATATGCATACAGATACAAAGGACTTACCTTGAAACTTCGTGTTTATACCAAAAAAAAATAAAATAATAAAATAAAATCTTTAAATGCATGTGTATGCATACATGTTGTTTGGCGCGGGTAGTCGCTAACAATTAAAAAGGGATCAAATGATTGTGTAAGAAACAAACCTCTTGAGACAAAATTCCAAAAAGAGGTATTTTATTGGCGATAACTTTACAATTGGAATTTAAACAGAATGCCTTCAAGGGGCGCAAGCACACGAGTATTGAAAAAAAATGTTTAAGTCTAAATTAAGAAATTGAAATTACATATTTTCTGTTTGAGAGTGTTTGATTCGGGGTCCTTTGCTCTATGTCTTTTCTTCTTTTTATATTCCCTTGATGATCTCTTCGTGATCAACCGCTTAGAAACTGCTTAATTGCTTTATAACTTTCCACTTTCTTCGTGGTGACCAACTTATCGTGGAACTGCCGTCTCTAACTGCTGTCACTACTTTTTGTCATTCAACCGTCTTCAACTGAACTCCTTGAATCGTGGAACGTGATAAGATTACTCAATAACTGCTTCGATAACTGCACTTTTGGATAACCATAACATCTTATGTTTGCTAAGATCCTGGGCGATTCGAAGGTTTGGGCGAGAACATGGTCATAACTCTTGGCGACTGCAAGGCACTTCATTCGCTCAGATCTTGGGTGTCTTGCAAGTTTGGGCGATGGTGTTACCGCGTTTGTGGGCTTCCACTGCATTCATTAATAACCCTATTTGAGCCTTTATCCTGAATTGTCCAGTTGGGCTTCATTCTTTAAGCTATTCGGTTTGGACTGCACTTTTAGCGTGTCAACACGTGTATATACAATAATTAAGCTACTTGTACAAAATTATTTTACACTTTTATTGCCAGATGTTGAAGTGGCATCAAATCAACAGTCAAAATGCATGCCACCTCAACGTCTATTAACAAAGGTATAGAAAAAACTGTAGAAGTAACAAAGTCTGCGTATTTAGCCCCCGTTTGAACTCCATTATTTGGATATTATAATGTTTTGAATAATGTTTTTTTTTTTTAAATGAGTGGTTGAAAAGAAAAGAAAAGTTTTTTATTTACGTATAATATTATTTTATTAAAAAATGTGTGATTAAAATTAGGAGAGATAAAAATTTAATTTAATTTAATGAGAAATAATGGGGGTCAAACGAGGCTTAATCTCTCACATTTTTCAAACTTTTCCTCACATTTTTCAAACTTTTCTGCCATCCAAAATACATTTTCTTATCGGTATATTCCTTTTACACCTTTTGAATCATCAGTCATTGGATTTATTGTTTATTTAGACACTTTAATCTTCCTAGTTAAGGAAGATAGTAAATTGAGGCCCTGATACCCATTTTTTTCAAAATGTAGTTTTTTCTAGGACTGGACAAATCTTTTGAACCAAACCGATCGAATCGAATTGAACCGAATCCGACGATTCTTGTCAAATTAAATATCTGAACGGGTATCTGAATTGAGAACCAACAGGTACGGTTCGATTCTCGGTTCTAGACCAAGAACCGAATTTTTCTAAATTTTTTATATTGAGTAAATCAAATTATTTTAATTTTAATTTTTTCTAAACAAATTAACAAATTAAAGATTTCTAAATCCAAATTTTTTGCCCAATAATTTGTTTCATTTCTAATTTTTTTATTTTTGGCCCAATTACCCATTTTATTGTTTTATTTCTTAGCCAAACAAGATCAAATGCACTAAATAACCCTAAACACCAACACTAAAGTGCATAACGTTGTCTCGACTCTCGCACTCACTCTCGCAGCCTCGCTAATATTCCAAAACCTATACAATTATCGGTCGACACTGTGACATCCGATCAAAGTTGTGACCTTCACCAACCGAAACTTTGATCGTAGCGATCATTTGAACAATTTAGTTTACTAGTCTCTGACATTCCAAAACCATTGAATGTATTATTAGTTGTATTTATATAATGTTATAAATGTTAAAAATTTTAATTATAATACAAAACCGAACTGAACGAACGGTTCCATAATTATATTTGGACCCGACGGTTCCATTTACTAGATACCCGAAAAATTCGGTTCGGTTCTCTTTAGAACCGAACCGAACCGACCTGCGCCCACCCCTAATTTTCTCACTCTTCTTATCAATCACATATTTTTTATTAAAATAATATTATACGTAAATCAAAAAATTTTCCTTATTTTTCAATCACATATTTTCCATCAATTTACTATTCAAAAATGTGTTTTTACATAAAAATATCTCTCAAACACCTCCTCAGTATTGTTGGAATTCTTGTAAACCTTGTCGAAAACAACATTTTACTAAAGGACAAAAATAAAATAAAAATTTCTAAAATCTGAAATACTCAAAGAACCTTTAAATCAACAACTATTAATTTTTATTTATTTTTTATTCCTTGGGTTCCACGACAATGGCTATTAATAAATATACGACGCTGGCAATTGGACTTGTTATTTCAGTCATATAAACGCCAAAAGAGGTGATTTTTGCTTTGACGCATGGAAAATAAAACTTAGCCAGCAAGTATAAATGCCAAAATATTGGGGTATTGACAATGTGACTAGGAATTTTCCTCATTTCTTTCATATCGACTTGCATTTCAATACAATCTTAGTCCTGCCTTATCATATTGGCATGTGCCTATGCTGCCTTCTTATATGGATATTTTCATTTTTCATCAATGCCACATGGGTAGATAGGATTAAGAGGAAGTTGCTTATCTTCTTTCGTCAACATATGGAAAAATAAAATATGGATATGCTTCGATGATAAAATTTGACTTTGGTCTCTCTAGAATGTAATATAAGATATATATTTAGAAGTAGTGATTATTTTCCTTTTGATGACCGGTCTTCAAATGGTATTTAAGGACAAGAGGGTTGTGGGCAAGGATATTGAGCCATCACCTAATTGCTACAAATAGGTTCCATACTTATGGATTGAGATGGTAATGGGTCGATCCAAGACACCCAAGTTTGGCTCGTGTTTACAAACTACGTTAGGTTCAACCCTTTGGCTCATGGGCAAATCCGAGATACACGAGCTCAAGTCTAGGTTTTGTTCGATCCTTTGGCTCATGGGCTTCATAGGCCGAGCCATCCAAGAGACCACGAGCTAGCTCATTTTTTAAAAAAATAATAAGAGGAAATTACAGAATTCTCGGTATTTGAAAATCTCAGTGGAAAAGTCAGGCTAGAAAGTTTTTTTATTTAGATTCCAAGTTTTGAAAATATTAATATTCCCCCAATTGTACCAAACCCTAACTTACTTATCTCTCTCTCTCTCTAAACACACAACATCCTCTTCTTCCCTTCCTCTCTCTCTCCCCTCCTCGTTAGATTTGGGCACCGTCGTCGGACACTACAATGGAGATCGTCGTTGCAAGTAAGGAGCTCTGATTGCCTATTCTCCATTTTTCTTCCCTTCTTCTTTCCATCCTCTTCTCCCTCTCTGTCTTTCTATCCTCTTCGCCACAATGACCGTCATCGCCGAATACTACAGCAGAGCTCGTCGTTGTAAGTAGTCGTCGCTTTGTGCGATTCTAGTGTCGGGGCATCTTTGCCCGATCTGTGGTTGGCAGGTACGCATAGATCACGATGATCCATGGTTTTGCCTTTGTGCCCGATCAGTGTTTTTGCCAAGTTGAAGCCAGTGAATCAACCCTAATGTGGTGCAGGCAGCGGTGCTGTGGTGGTGGATCTGGTGGTTGCAAGTGGTAATGGTTGTGATGGAGTTGGTGGTGGTATGTCACCGACTATTTGAGCTGTTACCAATCTTTGGTGTAGTGGTGGTTTTCATACGGTGGTGGTAGTGTTGGCGGTGGTTGTGGTGGTTTTGTGGTGGGGTGGATAGTGTATGTGACCAAGTATTGTGGTGGAATGGGATCTAGATTGGGTGAGGTGGTTGCGGTGGTTTGGTGCAAGCATTAATTGGGTGGTAGTAATTTGTGGTCAAGATTGGTGTTGGATCGGGACCTGTGTAATGGGGTGTTTGGAATCTGTAACCAACAATTTGAAATCTGTGACCAAATATTTATTTGTTTATGACTAACTATTTTGCTGATTTGTGACAAAAAATTAGGTGTTTGTAACTAAAAAAAATTGTGACAATAAACTATGACCTATGTGACCCATAGATAAAATGTAACATGTAATTTGAATAATTTGTGACCTAAAAATAAATCTGTGATGGATAAAAATTTTGATTTGTGACATCGAAATAATATGTGACCAATTGATTTGATGATATGTGACCAGTGAAAAAATCTGACCAATAATTATGAGTCTGTAACCATTAATTATATAACAATGGTTTTATCATATTTAATTAATAAATATTTTTAATTAATTATACACATACCTGAATTATGAACTTCCAAACCATTGACGTGACTTTTGAATTGATGTAAACAATACATTTAAAATGTGAATTTTTCCTAAAAAATAAAACAAGATAAAAAATGAGCTTGCCCACAAGTCCAAATTGAGCCAATTGAATCGACCCTCTGGTCTTCATATGAGTCTTAGCCACCATGGATTGAACCGAGCCGATGAACCGGCAAGCGACTCAACCTATTTGCCACCCTACTTATAAACAAGTCTTGTTGATCCTGTCCAGTCACATGGTTTGTGGATATGTTATTTTACAATAGATTAACAATTGTTTATTACTTACATGATTAAAGGTTAATTAAGCTCGGCAAAATCATGTTCGACCGCAATTTTTGAGTCTTAGAAAGCACAATCTCATAATCACACCACTAGTGTGATTAACCAACTCATCTTGACTACCTAACTTGTACGTTAAAAATTTGACCCCTTATTTTGTCATGCTACAACCATATATTATGCTATTCTAAGGTAACAGTACTCTTCTCTAAATGATAAATGTCAGAAGCTTACACAGACAATTATGATTTTTTTGTACCCCCAAAATTAATAATTTTTAAGGTTGACCCTCATAATTGTACGTACACATCTATGTTTTTACTCGTCTATTTCTTGAGCCACATAAATTATCTCGACCATACTTGTGATTATTTATCCAGATCTCCATGGTTCAAGATTCTCAATTTTCGTCAAGATAGTTTGTCCTAAACATCGACTAAAAATAAAAATATTAACAATATGTAAGGACACGGATTGCTGCTTTTAGATAAAGTGGCTCAATGTCTATTAAGGGTTGAAGCCCTATTCATCAAAAGAATGATGGTGATTGAGAAAAGCTAGTGACGCTCGAAAGATTTCCTCGAATTCTTTTGTTCACAAACTATACATTTTCATCTTTGGCCAATTGCCGAAAACGATAATTAGATGTTAAATTATCAAAAAATTTATTGGTTCCTTCATTTGCTATGTTTGCCTTCTAAATCAAGTTGTTATCTCCTTGCTCAAGCAATTCTCTCTCTCTCTCTCTCTCTCTCTTTTAAATTTGTTCATGAAATTTTCTCTTATCCGAAATAAAGTTGTTTTATTGTTGCTGTTGTTTCCTGGGTTTATCAAAGATTAGTAACAATAGTTTCTATTCTTTAAATCAAATCCATAAATTCAAAATACAAGCATCGGAATGCATATTAGGTAAGGTGAATTGGGGAACACTCGATAATATTAAGAAGCAAAAAGAAATAAAATCATATACGTTATAGTGTCTAGTACTGTGTATATAAGACAGTGAATACAACATCAGTACTCTTCCTCTTTCAGGAAATTCTTAAATTCTTGGATTAGAAAGGTCTCATCTTTCATATACATACATATAAAAAATAACATGGCCAAAATCCCAATTATGATAGTCTACACTTAAAACATCATGAGAAGAAAGGGGCTATGTAAATGACTAGTTTTTGCTTGATACGACTCGTGACTTCTCTATGCTATATCCTATGCAGAATTAGATGAGCCTCGTGCCGAGGTTGAAGAGTTTGAACCATATGAGGAGCATGCATATAGAATGGTGAGAGCTCAAAAGAGAAGCATTGTAGAATCATGGCCGTCGCCATTTTTGCCTCAATTATGGTCAAGGTTTGTCCATTACGTATCCGAGGTCCCAACCCAAATGGGAAATATAAGCCTTGTTTCTTCATTGCCTTTGATACTCCTTAATCTCTCTGATTTAAACTCCATTGCGTCCTTTCCCCAAAATTCACGGTCATGATATAATAAGATTGTTCATAGTGAAAGCTACGTCTTGGCTGGGAGCAATAGTTTCCCCAATTTCGTTTCTACATGAACTCTGTCGTGATGTAATAAGATTGTAGATAATTGAAGCTGTGTCTCAGCTGGGAGCAATAGTTTCCCCAATCTCGTTTCTTCATGAACTCTTCGAGGAATTCCAACTGCTGGTGGATAGAGTCTCATGACCTCATACAAAATCATGGTAACCTGTGATTAATATCCCATACAAGTTATAAACAGGAAGAAATTGAGGAACATAATTCATTTAAGATTATATTAGGCCACTGATTTACTAATCTAAAACCTTTCTGATGTTCAATATTAGTTCAACATTTTATTTTGAAAAGAGGAATGGATATAAAGGGTGTTACCAATAATTCCAATCATATTGTTATTTAAAGAAGGAAATTACATACGATTTTCAGGTGATTTAACCCATCGAAATCTGGGTTTTTGCTACCAAATACTTGTGAGACATCTTCTCTAGCCCGTGTCTGCCACTCTGGATGTGTACTCAATAGAACCAACGTCCATACTAGTAAAGCAGAAGTCGTCTCTTGTCCAGCAAAATAGAACAGCTTGCATTCTTCTACGACCTCATCTATGCTCATTCCAAAATTCTTATTTCCATGTTGTTTAATTTCTTGGAAGTTGGATTCCAACAATATGCCCAACAAATCATCATTACGTGCTTCCCCCACCTCCATTGCCATCAATCTTCTATTTATAATATCTCTAACTGATGCTTGAACTTCCTTTTCAATTTCCTTCATTCTTTTGTTCTTCTTAGTCGGCACAAATCTATACACAAGGGATGTTCAGAGGATAAGTAAACAACTACATAATTACAACCGAGCAGGTGAAAATGGTTCTTCTGACTAATCATCTCAGCAGAAAAAAAAATGAGGATTCAAAATTAAGTAGTAATATTGTAAGGTAGAGATTTCTTCAAGACTAGTCAAAATATAGTGTTACCTCCATCCAGGAATATAGATCGACTGGGAAGCCTTGATGATGTGTTCAGCTTGTTCTCTCTGAAGTTCGAATATCCTCCTTCCCTCTTCGTAGCTACTACCAAACGATGTTCTTGATATTGCATCACTAGATAATTTTTGTAGATAAGGCCACACGTCGAAATCACGTGATTCTCCAGGAGCGAGGCCCAGTTCCCATTTGCTCAAAATCTCTTCACAACTCAAATAAAAAGCTGGCATCATAAGCTGTAACAAGCAGGGGTGACAAAGCAATCTCATCACCAATAAGTTCTCTTTTAGTATGAAGCTTTTGTTTCTTGAGAAAATAAAAATTCTTGAATACAATATCAAACAATATAATTTCGTTAAGATGAATTTAATTTGTCAATATGCTCCATCTCAAATCTTTGAATGAATAACTTTCATATTTCAGCAGTTTTTATAAGATAGAGAAAACCTTTAGCTTCTCTAGATGGAAAGCAGGGTTGATGATTTTTCTGTGTTTAGCCCATTTATCTTCCTCATAGCTCACTACACCTTGTACGAGCAGCTTGGTCAGTGGATTCATGTTTACTGGCTTCTGGTACACATAATTCTTAGTTAGGACCTCCTTTATGAGTTCAGGGTCCGTGATTATAATTAATGGTCTCGGCCCAAGCCACATGAAGGCGTTGGTACCTGCATGTTATGGCGACAAGAATATTATAAATTCAAGTTTTGCACAAGAGAAAAATATATTTAGGAACACTGGCATGCAGGTACAAATTAGAATGTGGACACCTAAGGGAGCTAAGATAAAAGAAGTTATCTTGCAAACCAGAACGGGTCAAATGAAAGTTGATACTTCTTCCCTTTTACTCGGAAATTTTCAAATGTGTAGAAATGAAAAGTACACAATCTAATCCTAAACTAAAATCTTGGATCATTCTACGTATAAACCCCAACTCAGCTGTTAGTAATCAATTGAGACGATCAAATATTCGTGAATCCAGTAAATCGAGAAATCGTCATCTGAACCTTTGTTATAATACTTTTTGATGTATGCAAACTTTACTGAAGCTCTGTTCACCATGTGTACAAATTATCATATAATCATGGAAAGAACATTATTGGTGCCACAGTCCTAGACAAGTCCACCTTACTCTTCTAACTACATTTTCTATTAGATATTATCTTATCTTTACATTCAATTTATGAACAAAGGAACAGATCTAAATGTCTCCTCTGTGAAGCTGACATTCTAAGCTTACGAAGGAGCATGGCTATGGGTTCCTGAGCGGAGATATACAGATACAGGCAGCATCTTGGATCAAACACACAAAATTCGTGTTTATCAAATACAGGGGAATGGAACTGAGAAAAAATTTCAAATTATGACGGTTTATGTCAGACTAACATGCTATTACTGAAGTATGCACCATCAATTATTGATGGACACAAAGACAGAGATGAAGAATATGACATTTATGAGTGTAGGTGTGTGTTCTTTCCAGATGACAAAAAATAGAGGGCTCTTCAAACTACCGCAAAATCTATGGGTTAAATTTTGATCATCCAACCATTGCACATGCATCTTCCAGTTTTTAGTCTACTTTATACAAACAGTCTTAGATTTTGATTGAACACAAGTTTTGGATAATTTACACCAGTTTCTTTCTATAAGTTTCCAATGACTAACCAATTTTCGTCAATCAATCCGTTCACATCTTGTCTATGATGGGCAACTCACAAAAGGATGAGATCAATCGTAAGAGAAATGGATCTCTAACAAGGATTCAAGTTTAGACGAGATTCAAATAAAAAGTAAAGATGAAGCAGACAGACCAAAGAGTACAAGAAGTTCTGCTCTACCCAGAAAGTCTAGATGTCCCATCTTTAACCATCAAATCAGCTCCTTGTGCCTCGATATGGACAAAACAACGTTCAAGAACAAAAACAAAAACTACCCGAAACGGAAACATTTACACCTCTGTTGCCCCTAGGAAAAGAATTGATTTTTCAAAGAACCCCATTTCTCTTGAACTAGGAGTCCATGTTTTCAAGAAATCATAGAATAGAAAACTGTCTGAAACCTATTAGTCCTACTCTTAAATGAAGGATATAGACTATATCGTAATCGAAGTGAAAGAAACCCAACTGGGAAATTAACTTGGGACTTTACACAAACAGTTACCAGGCAATAACAAGGACATACCATAGTTCTCCAGTGTTTTGAGGAAGAAGGGTATGATCCTCCGCTTGATATCATCTGAAAGATTGATTGGTTTGGATTTGGCTTTTTGCAGCATACTTATCAAACCTTTCAAATCTCCATAGAGAAATCTGTAGGAGTTTCCATTTAAACCTTGTTGTCTCAGACATTTTTCCATCTTTTTTGGCTTAAACCAAACCCAATCCAGCACCCTCCATGTGTATATCAGTAGCACAAATGCACAACACACACCAATTGTGTAATACAGAATCTCCATGCCCAATTATAATCACTGCACAAGTGCAAGTTTTCTTCTACACCTGTGTATATGAATATATATAACTATTAAGAGGAAACAGCATGGAAAGTCGCTTTCTATATGCATACAGATACAAAGGACTTACCTTGAAACTTCGTGTTTATACCAAAAAAAAATAAAATAATAAAATAAAATCTTTAAATGTATGTGTATGCATACATGATGTTTCGCGCGGGTAGTCGCTAACAATTAAAAAAGGGATCAGATGATTGTGTAAGAAACAAATCTCTTGAGACAAAATTCCAAAAAGAGGTATTTTATTGGCGATAACTTTACAATTGGAATTTAAACAGAATGCCTCCAAGGGGCGCAAGCATACGAGTATTGAAAAGAAATGTTTAAGTCTAAATTAAAAAATTGAAATTACATATTTTCTGTTTGAGAATGTTTGATTCGGGGTCTTTTGCTCTATGCCTTTTCTTCTTTTTATATTCCCTTGATGATCTCTTCGTGATCAACCGCTTAGAAACTGCTTAATTGCTTTATAACTGTCCACTTTCTTTGTGGTGGCCAACTTATCGTGGAACTGCCGTCTCTAACTGCTGCCACTACTCTTTGTCGTTCAACTGTCTTCAACTGAACTCCTTGAATCGTGGAACGTGATAAGATTACTCAATAACTACTTCGATAACTGCACTTTTGGATAACCATAACATCTTATGTTTGCTAAGATCCTGGGCGATTCGAAGGTTTGGGCGAGAACAGGGTCATAACTCTGGGCGACTGCAAGGCACTTCATTCGCTCAGATCTTGAGTGTCTTGCAAGTTTGGGCGATGGTGTTACCGTGTTAGTGGGCTTCCACTGCATTCATTAATAACCCTATTTGAGCATTTATCCTGAATTGTCCAGTTGGGCTTCATTCTTCAAGCAATTCGATTTGGACTGCACTTTTAACGTGTCAACACATGCGTATATACAATAATTAAGCTACTTGTGCAAAATTATTTTAAACTTTTATTGCCAGATGTTGAAGTGGCATCAAATCAAGAGTCAAAATGCATGCCACCTCAACGTCTATTAACAAAGGTATAGAAAAAACTGTAGAAGGAACAAAGTCTGCGTATTTAGCCCCCGTTTGAGCTCCATTATTTGGATATTATAATGTTTTGAATAATGTTTTTTTTTTTTAAATGAGTGGTTGAAAAGAAAAGAAAAGTTTTTTATTTACGTATAATATTATTTTATTAAAAATTATGTGATTAAAATTAGGAGAGATAAAAATTTAATTTAATTTAATGAGAAATAATGGGGGTCAAACGGGGCTTAATCTCTCACATTTTTCAAACTTTTCCTCACATTTTTCAAACTTTTCTGCCATCCAAAGATACATTTTCTTATCAGTATATTCCTTTTACACCTTTTGAATCATCAGTCATTGGATTTATTGTTTATTTAGACACTTTAATCTTCCTAGTTAAGGAAGATAGTAAATTGAGGCCCTGATACCCATTTTTTTCAAAATGTAGTTTTTTCTAGGGTTGGACAAATCTTTCGAACCAAACCGACCGAATCGAATTGAACCGAACCCGACGGTTCTTGTCAAATTAAATACTCGAACAGGTATCTGAATTGAGAACCAACGGGTACGGTTCGATTCTCGGTTCTAGACCAAGAACCGAATTTTTCTAATTTTTTTTTATATTGAGTAAATCAAATTATTTTAATTTTAATTTTTTCTAAACAAATTAACGATTTCTAAATCCAAATTTTTTGCCCAATAATTTGTTTTATTTCTAATTTTTTTATTTTTGGCCCAATTACCCATTTTATTGTTTTATTTCTTAGCCAAACAAGATCAAATCCACTAAATAACCCTAAACACCAACACTAAAGACATAACGTTGTCTCGACTCTCGCACTCACTCTCGCAGCCTCGCTAATATTCCAAAACCTATACAATCATCGGTCGACACTGTGACATCCGATCAAAGCTGTGACCTTCACCAACCGAAACTTTGATCGTAGCGATCATTTAAACAAGGTAGTTTACTAGTCTCTGACATTCCAAAACCATTGAACATATTATTAGTTGTATTTATATAATGTTATAAATGTTAAAAATTTTAATTATAATACAAAACCGAACTGAACGGAACGGAACGGAATCGAACCGAACCCGAATGGTTCCATAATTATATTTGGACCCGACGGTTCCATTTACTAGATATCCGAAAAATTCGGTTCGGTTCGGTTCTTTTTAGAACCGAACCGAACCGAACCGATATGCGCCCACCCCTAGTTTTCTCACTCTTCTTATCAATCACACATTTTTTATTAAAATAATATTATACGTAAATCAAAAAAATTTCCTTATTTTTCAATCATATATTTTCCATCAATTTACTATTTAAAAATGTGTTTTTACATAAAAATGTCTCTCAAACACCTCCTCAATATTGTTGGAATTCTTGTAAACCTTGTCGAAAACAACATTTTACTAAAGGACAAAAATAAAATAAAAATTTCTAAAATCTGAAATACTCAAAGAACCTTTAAATCAACAACTAGTAATTTTTATTTATTTTTTATTCCTTGGGTTCCACGACAATGGCTATTAGTAAATATACGACGCTGACGATTGGACTTGTTATTTCAGTCATATAAACGCCAAAAGAGGTGATTTTTGCTGTGACGCATGGAAAATAAAACTTAGCCAGCAAGTATAAATGCCAAAATATTGGGGTATTGACAATGTGACTAGGAATATTCCTCATTTCTTTCATATCGACTTGCATTTCAATACAATCTTAGTCCTGCCTTATCATATTGGCATGTGCCTATGCTGCCTTGTTATATGGATATTTTCATTTTTCATCAATGCCACATGGGTAGATAGGATTAAGAGGAAGTTGCTTATCTTCTTTCGTCAACATATGGAAAAATAAAATATGGATATGAGACGATTGATTCAACTTCGGTGATAAAATTTGACTTTGGTCTCTCTAGAATGTAATAAAAGATATATATTTAGAAGTAGTGATTATTTTCTTTTTGATGACCGGTCTTCAAATGGTATTTAAGGACAAGAGGGTTGTGGGCAAGGATATTGAGCCATCACCTAATTGCTACAAATAGGTTCCATACTTATGGATTGAGATGGTAATGGGTCGATCCAAGACACCCAAGCTTGGCTCGTGTTTACAAACTACGTTAGGTTCAACCCTTTGGCTCATGGGCAAATCTAAGATACACGAGCTCAAGTCTAGGTTTTGTTCGATCCTTTGGCTCATGGGCTTCATAGGCCGAGCCATCCAAGAGACCACGAGCCAGCTCATTTTTTAAAAAAATAATAAGAGGAAATTATAGAATTCCCGATATTTGAAAATCTCAGTGGAAAAGTCAGGCTAGAAAGTTTTTTATTCAGATTCCAAGTTTTGAAAATATTAATATTCCCCCAATTGTACCAAACCCTAACTTACTTATCTCTCTCTCTCTCTCTCTAAACACACGACATCCTCTTCTTCCCATCCTCTCTCTCTCCCCTCCTCGTTAGATTTGGGCGCCATCGTCGGACACTACAATGGAGATCGTTGTTGCAAGCAAGGAGCTCCAATTGCCTCTTCTCCATTTTTCTTCCCTTCTTCTTTCCATCCTCTTCTCCCTCTGTCTCTCTATCCTCTTCGCCACAATGGCCGCCATCGTCGAATACTACAGCAGAGCTCGTCGTTGTAAGTAGTCGTCGCTTTGTGCGATTCTAGTGTCGGGGCATCTTTGCACGATCTGTGGTTGGCAGGTACGCACAGATCACGATGATCCATGGTTTTGCCTCTGTGCCCGATCAGTGTTTTTGCCAAGTTGAAGCCAGTGAATCAACCCTAATGTGGTGTAGGCAACGGTGCTGTGGTGGTGGATCTGGTGGTTGCAAGTGGTAATGGTTGTGATGGAGTTGGTGGTGATATGTCACCGACTATTTGAGCTGTTACCAATCATTGGTGTAGTGGTGGTTTTCATACGGTGGTGGTAGTGTTGGCGGTGGTTGTGATGGTTTTGTGGTGGGGTGGATAGTGTATGTGACCAAGTATTGTGGTGGAATGGGATCTAGATTGGGTGTGGTGGTTGCAGTGGTTTGGTGCAAGCGTTAATTGGGTGGTAGTAATTTGTGGTCAAGATTGGTGTTGGATCGGGACCTGTGTAATGGGTTGTTTGGAATCTGTAACCAACAATTTGGAATCCGTGACCAAATATTTATTTGTTTATGACCAACTATTTTGCTGATTTGTAACAAAAAATTAGGTGTTTGTAACTAAAAAAAAATTGTGACAATAAACTATAACCTATGTGACTCATAGATAAAATGTAAAATGTAATTTGAATGATCTGTGACCTAAAAATAAATCTGTGACGTATAAAAATTTTGATTTGTGACATCGAAATAATATGTGACCAATTGATTTGATGATATGTGACCAGTGAAAAAAGCTGACCAATAATTATGAGTCTGTAACCATTAATTGTATAACAATGATTTTATCATATTTAATTAATAAATATTTTTAATTAATTATACACATACCTGAATTATGAACTTCCAAACCATTGACGTGACTTTTGAATTGATGTAAACAATACATTTAAAATGTGAATTTTTCCTAAAAAATAAAACAAGATAAAAAATGAGCCTGCCCACAAGCCCAAATTGAGCCAATTGAATCGACCCTCTGGTCTTCATATGAGTCTTAGCCACCATGCATTGAACCGAGCCCATGAACCGGCAAGCGACTCAACCTGTTTGCCAACCTACTTATAAACAAGTCTTGTTGATCCTGTCCAGTCACATGGTTTGTGGATATGTTATTTTACAATAGATTAACAATTGTTTATTACTTACATGATTAAAGGTTAATTAAGCTCGGCAAAATCATGTTCGACCGCAATTTTTGAGTCTTAGAAAGCACAATCTCATAATCACACCACTAGTGTGATTAACCAACTCATCTTGACTACCTAACTTGTACGTTAAAAATTTGACCCCTTATTTTGTCATGCTACAACCATATATTATGCTATTCTAAGGTAACAGTACTCTTCTCTAAATGATAAATGTCAGAAGCTTACACAGACAATTATGATTTTTTTGTACCCCCAAAATTAATAATTTTTAAGGTTGACCCTCATAATTGTACGTACACATCTATGTTTTTACTCGTCTATTTCTTGAGCCACATAAATTATCTCGACCATACTAGTGATTATTTATCCAGATCTCCATGGTTCAAGATTCTCAATCTTCGTCAAGATAGTTTGTCCTAAACTTCGACTAAAAATAAAAATATTAACAATATGTAAGGACACGGATTGCTGCTTTTAGATAAAGTGGCTCAATGTCTATTAAGGGTTGAAGCCCTATTCATCAAATGAATGATGGTGATTGAGAAAAGCTAGTGACGCTTGAAAGATTTCCTCGAATTCTTTTGTTCACAAACTATACATTTTCATCTTTGGCCAATTGCCGAAAACGATAATTAGATGTTAAATTATCAAAAAATTTATTGGTTCCTTCATTTGCTATGTTTGCCTTCTAAATCAAGTTGTTATCTCCTTGCTCAAGCAATTCTCTCTCTCTCTCTCTCTCTCTCTCTCTTTTAAATTTGTTCATGAAATTTTCTCTTATCCGAAATAAAGTTGTTTTATTGTTGCTGTTGTTTCCTGGGTTTATCAAATATTAGTAACAATAGTTTCTATTCTTTAAATCAAATCCATAAATTCAAAATACAAGCATCGGAATGCATATTAGGTAAGGTGAATTGGGGAACACTCGATAATATTAAGAAGCAAAAAGAAATAAAATCATATACGTTATAGTGTCTAGTACTGTGTATATAAGACAGTGAATACAACATCAGTACTCTTCCTCTTTCAGGAAATTCTTAAATTCTTGGATTAGAAAGGTCTCATCTTTCATATACATACATATAAAAAATAACATGGCCAAAATCCCAATTATGATAGTCTACACTTAAAACATCATGAGAAGAAAGGGGCTATGTAAATGACTAGTTTTTGCTTGATACGACTCGTGACTTCTCTATGATATATCCTATGCAGAATTAGATGAGCCTCGTGCCGAGGTTGAAGAGTTTGAACCATATGAGGAGCATGCATATAGAATGGTGAGAGCTCAAAAGAGAAGCATTGTAGAATCATGGCCGTCGCCATTTTTGCCTCAATTATGGTCAAGGTTTGTCCATTACGTATCCGAGGTCCCAACCCAAATGGGAAATATAAGCCTTGTTTCTTCATTGCCTTTGATACTCCTTAATCTCTCTGATTAAACTCCATTGCGTCCTTTCCCCAAAATTCACGGTCATGATATAATAAGATTGTTCATAGTGAAAGCTACGTCTTGGCTGGGAGCAATAGTTTCCCCAATTTCGTTTCTACATGAACTCTTCGGTTAAGAGTAATCCGTGGTGGATACATTCTCAGGATCTCATATAAAATCAAGGTAAGTTGTGATGAAGATCTCATAAGAGTTATAAGCAGGGGAATAAATAAAGTCACATATATTCTTCGACAACTACGCCTATGCTCATTCCAAAACTCCTGTTTACAAGTAGTTTGATTTCTTGTAAATTGGATTCCTACAATATTGAACACTATACTGTAACGATCCAAGTCTATGTACCCAAACTGTTAGTTTACGTACTGTCCGCTTTGGGTGGACTTTTTGCACCCACTTACCCCTCACAGCTTTCTGTCGCATCCCCCAAAATTCGAACTCATAACATTTCCCTTAAATAAGACTTAAGTTGAATCCTGGTACCAATTGAGAAACTTGCCCATTGGTATCAGGATTCAACTTAAGTCTTATTTAAGAGAAATGTTATGAATTCGAATCCTGTCCAATTGGTACCAGGATTCAACTTAAATCTTACTTAAAGAAAATGTTATGAGTTTGAATTTTGGGGGACACGACAAAAAGTCGTGAGGAATAAGTGGGCGCAAAGCCTATCCAAAGCAGACAGTATGTAAGCTAATGACTTGAGTACAAAGTCCCGAATCGTTACTTATACTCTTTTCTCAAATTGAAAAACGTGGAAAGCTTAGATAGTTACATTAACTCATTGAACACTACACTCTTTTTGCTCATCAGCGTTTGAACTGTATCAACTATGTTTTTACTTTTCTACTTTCTCAAGCCACAAAATATCTTGAATGTAAATGCTTGTGC